AAGTATGTGTGTGATAAATAAAAGTTAACGAAACAACAAGCTTAACATTGGTGCACTGGCCGAGTGTTTGTCAATTCAACATCACAAACAAATTGAGATATTAAAAATCAATTAAATTACTAAACTGGTTAGTACACGCAGTATTTCCGACGTACAAGCTGAAGAAAACTTTAAACAATACGAACAACAACTTGAAGAGAAACGACGAGAACGTCAACAAACACAACAATATTTATCAGAAGTGAATCGACTTGGTAATATCGAAGTTGAACAAACGAGTCCAACACAACGTATTGAAAGTTTTATTATTCGACGACCACTTGTATTCGAAATGGCAGATAAAATATTAACTTCCCGCATTAGTAAACAATTGGATCGATGGCCTACATTCGGTGGAAAATTAACGGAAAATGTAACCAAATGGTTAAAAGATATTACAAATGAAATGGATTTGGTTAAATTCGATAATGCACAAAAATTAAGTGTCATTCAAACTTATTTAGTTGATGATGCGAGAAAATGGTTGATTAATAATATGGAAAGATTATCGACATGGCCGGCATTCGTCGAAGCAATCAAGCAAACATATTCATCAGCATTTGCTAAGGAAGCAGCCATTACTCAAGTAGCTCAACGAAATCAAGGGTTAGATGAGACGGTGATGCATTATTATAATGATATGATAGAATTATTCGATGTTATTGATCACCACATGAATGATTTATTGAAAGTTAGCTATCTAAAAAATGGATTAAAACTATCATTGAAAAAAGAAGTATCAAGAAAAAATCCTCAAACACCATCTGAATTTATCAGAGCAGCAGTAGAAGAAGAAGGTCTGGATTATGGTATAGCAACATCAGTACATAATTGGGAAAATCCAGTCAAGAAAGAAATACAATCAACAAACGACTTTTCATCAATACAACACAACTACCAGTATACATCATATCCGCAAGATCAAAGTGAAAATGATAATGAAGATTATTATGCACGAATCACAGCCTCCAATAATCGATATCAACAACAACACCAACAGCAAAATCAATATCGACCACAACAACAAAATCAATATCAACA